TTCGGGTGTTCGTGTCTTCGTGTCTTCGCGTGTCTTCGTGTCTTCGCACAAAGTCACAACCCGGTTCTCGCTCGAGTACGTCAATCCAGCGAAACAAGCAGGATCAAGCAGGAACATCATTGCTCCAAATGGCTGGCATTTCTTGCTCCGCTGAACACCTCAGGTTTCGAAGTATACATGCAACCAAGTACTCCAGGACTCGGAAAAATGATGAAAAAATATGAAAAAAGCAGAAAAACTCAACCAGTTTTCAGTTTTTGTCTTTTTGTTGGAAACACTCTGAGTGGTCTGCATGCCAACGTGATTTTTCCGTGGTCTCCCGCCCCGAACACTCCGCTGCCTCTCTCGGCGTCGACGCGTCCGCATGGTCCTCCACTCTCCGGCCTCCCCGGGAGGATCCAGTGAAGTAGTCCACCTGTGCAGAACCCCTTCGTCTTCGACCGCAGGTGGAACCTTCGATCCATGAACCCATGGATTGAGTCATACATCGATTGGCGAAACCCGCCAACGATATGGTTGACGATATAGAATCAAGACCAATTGGTCATAGATGTCATAGATGTCATAGTCATTCTTCCGTTCTTTGTGCAACGAGCGAGTTCTATGACGTTGATCGTAGCTTATGATCCGATTGGCTCCGTGCCACGCCGCTTGTCGTTCGATGGCGTCGGGCCCGGGCCCCTCGGTGTTCATCGAAGCTCTGAAACCGACTGCAAAAAAAGAAAGGTTGACCTGGTCTTGTGGTGAAAAGCAGAGTCTACCTGGTATATAAACATGTGAAAAAACAAATCGTATAGTTTAACCATGTTTCTTGGGGGGTTCTGTGCCCGTTCACTGTCGTTCGCTGTGACTGGATGGCACACTTGTCCCAGAATTTTGGGTTAGCATCGATAGAAATATAGGGATTAGATAGGATTGGACATCGTCAACATCTGGTGATGAAGAATTATCCTTCTCTTTCTTGCTTGAAAAGGGAGACCTTAGGCCTGTCCAAAGAGGGATCCATGGCAAACATGAGGTTGGACCAACCATTCGTGCTTTGTCTGGCCACGCATCGTGATCATTGCCATGTCCTTCTAGCAGAGTCAGCTTCGTCACATGGCAGATCCCCACACGCGCGCCGTGCGCGCGCGCGCTGTGCACGCGAAGTCCTACCGCCAGACGCATGCATGCCTGGATCTGGCTGTCGCCAAGCCATGAGCCATTCAAGGTGGTGACGGCCTGGTTCACCTGGCAGTCTGGGGCGCGGGATTTGTTGGTCTTTGATTGCGGTATCTGAAACAATAGAGCCCCAAACCCTACCAGAGATATTCTGAACGGTTTTGCGAAGGTGCTTGCAACGGAAGGATTGGGAACAACGGGATTCACCAGGCAATGAGGGCCCCAACATCTTACCGCACACTGTCACTGTCTGACACTGTCTCAGATGAGCAGGATGCTCAAGCCCTCAAGCCCTCATGTCCTACCTACGGGATGCTTCAGAGACGGGTTTCACCAGAAAAAAATCATATGACGAGTTTCACCAGAGATAGACTACATTGACAATCCACTCTATAAGTAGTGCAGGATTTCATCATTACAAAACTTGGAGGCCATGGCTATTAGGTTGGAGGCCATGGCTATTAGGTTGGAGGCCATCGCTATTAACTCAAACAAGATTGTGTTCTTTTTCCGCTTCGGATGAAGCCCTTGGACCCGTCTCTTTGTCGTCTCCGATCGCCTCAAGGGCACTCCGGAAGGCGACGCAGCCCGTCCCGCTCTTCGGGAAGGTCGCGCAGTAGATGCTCCGGCCGACCTGGGTGCAAACTAGCGTCCTCTTGTTCCTAGTAGTAAGGCCAGGAGCCCCTAGTAGCGTCCTTGTTACTACTAGTAAGGCACCTGTTACTACTAGCGTGGCACTTGTTACTACTAGCGTCCTTGTTCCTAGTAGCGAGGCCAGGAGCCCCTAGTAGCGTCCTTGTTCCTAGTAGTAAGGCCAGGAGCCCCATTCGTAGCGTCCGATCGCTCCGTTCGAGTCGCGAGGCGTTCGTCCGCTCCTTGCGTCGCGTCCTCTTGGAACCCTAAGCGACGGAACGGCCAGGAGAGACTGGTGCAGTTGACGAGTGATGAATTAGTTAGTTCTCCAAGCGAGCTCGGACAGTTTCATGGCAGATGCCAGGACCGGAAGCCCGGACAGGGCAGCTTCAAGCGTCCACTGTCTGCCCAAAACCAGCTCCCCAGCAATGCAAAACGAGTGACTGCGTTGAACGCCTGCTGCAAGGTCTTCCAGTCGATATCTGGCGATTGCGATTTCGTCCAGGCTATGTCGCACCACATGTTTTTGACGTTCTCCTTTTGCATTGGGTATTTTCGGTTTGCTGTTACTGGAGTTCGATGTAGTTTGTGTAACGATGTTAGCAGGTCTTTTGATCACATCGATGCGAACGGGACACCACCATCGCGACACCCTATCTCCCCAAAAAACGGTCCAGGACGTCTCTTGGAAAAGGAACATCTCCATGCCCACAATGCTGCCGGATCGGTCCTCAGCATCACTTCTCGCTTCAGATTCACTGCGTTCCTTTCTTCAACAAGTGGTTGAACCACCGGTGGTTGGAAAAGGTTGGTCTTCCTGGCTGCGGTCACCTGCCTCGGCTTTCCAACCTGCCCTGTGGAAGATGTCGCCTCTGGAGTTCCCCAAAAGAGTATCGTTTCAATCCATCTCTGACTTCTCGGGTCTGCCTTCGTCTAATCCTGATGCATAAAACAACCATATCCCAAGTGCCATATTCATATCCCATAATAAAACTGACACACCAGCATCCGGCGCGTTGAGCCAAGCCGGCGCCTGGCGAAAGACCACCGATCCAAACCTTCTGGGAGTTGTCAATGGCGGCCAGCTTCTGTGCATCCTCCTTTGACATGGGAGCTTTGAAAATGAACGCTCTTCGCGAAACAATTAATCAAGTACGGCCGTCCGGAGCCTCACCTCATGAGAGATCCTCCATCTTCAGGCAGAGTGGAGGAACTTTTGGCCACCATCAATGTCCAAAAGACAATCTTGCGCACAATCAGCCAGCTTTATCCTTCGCTTGTAAAAAAACACCTATGTTCGCTATGCCACGAAACGTATTCTTACACTAGAACATCACCAGATAGTATGGATGGGCACATGCAACGTATTTAGACCTGCTAAGAACCCCACAACATGTTTCCAGCTTCGATGGACGAGTCTGGAAAGGCCTGCAAGGCTTTTGATGCAAAGGATGAAGCTCCACTCTTAGGCAAATCAAAACAATATGGCTTCCGTATGTCCAAATCGAGCTTTTGTCCCGCCAAGGAGTTATCTCAAAGAAAACCCACATCATTCATACGAGTACTGATTAGAACATCAAGATGGAGAACTGATGATACAACAGACTTCTGTAGACACTGTAGACTCTCCCTTCCACTCACAAACAGATTTGACTTAGGGAATGTTGACGTCTCCCTCTGAATATCCCGACCAATCTCCGGACACTCCAAAGGAGACACAACCCGAGGCGAGTAGCTGCAAACTGTCCAGGACGGCTCCCCACCCGAAAGAAAAAACAACATTTAAGGTGAGTAACCACAGCTGGGAGTAATCATGTTACGTTCATCCCCAAGATTGGACCCTCTCTCAATCTCTCTGGGCTTAACCATGGTCAAACAATGTCGCGAAGAGATCGGTCGAAGGGCAGTCGGATGGTCGGTGTGATATGCTGTAGTGGTCTCCTGTTCGCTGCCTTTGCCGCCTTTGCCGCCTTTCACTTTGCCCTTCCCCTTCGCATTCCACGACATGGCCTGGCAGGCCATACGCTTCCCCTTCGCACGCTGCGCTGTGTTTCTGGGTCCTGAAGTGTCTCAAAGGAAAAAGACAAATACAGTTGATATATCTATATGTATATTAGTCAGTATAATCATGATACTATAATATCCTATGTATGATGTAGTAAGTATAGAAAACTTGCATGCATTCAGAGCTTCTAATCTTCCTCCCCATCGCGGGAATAACATTCCTCCCGCACCTGGGACTCCGAGGTCGACCGGATCTCAGGAGACTCCGAGGGAGGCCACGAGCCAGAACGGCAGGTGCGGGAAGAACCGTCGGTGTAGGAACAGGGAGCTGGCTTGCCGGAGGGAGCTCGAGAGTCTACGAGGGTCTGCGACAGAGCTGAAGAACAAAGCGGGTCAAGCTACACCTTCACAGTTTGATCAAAGTCTCCGTTTCGAAAATGCCGTGTGGAAAACATTCAGGGGGTCAGCCATATCCTTCGATGGCCGTTGCCTTTCATCGACTGATTTGGACCGGTCCTCCACTGGGCTGAGTGGCAGTCAACAGCTTCGTAGAAAAAGGCTTGGACGTGAGTCACGGTCGGGGTCGGGGGTTCCATTCATCAACCCTCCTGACCACTGAACCGTCCTGGCTACGACGCTACGACGCTAGCATACATCGAAATCTGGGTCTCTGAGTCAAAGCACAAAATGCGAAACCTTCGAAGATGAACATCTCGATCAGTTCTGCGACTGCGGGGATGTTCACCAGGGTGTCCAATGAGCGGTGGTGAAAACCTGGTGGAATCGCCACCGTGGGATTTTTTCTCGGTGCCACGATTCGTTTGCACACCCCAAGAATTTAAAAAGGCATGGTACGTCTCAACATTGGGGGTATCCACAACCAAACTGCCGGATAGAAAAAAGACACAAATCTTCGGACCAGCAGTCACAGAGCTCGAACCACCGCAAGGGAAACACCGTCGGGGTGGTTTCTTACATCCGGATGAAACGAAGCGATGAAACGGGCTCTGTGACTGGGAGGACTCCGAAGATGGCAGCCCTTCAGTGATCCGGATTGGTTGCCGTCCGGGGAGTTCCTCGAGGCTTCGGCGCGCGCGGCGAGGCGCGCGGCACCCGCGGCGGGGACGCCGTGCGCCGTTTTCACAGAGCATGCCACGGACTCAGGGGGGTCAGGAGCGGTTTCCTCCCAGACGACGTCTCTGATCGATGCACTGGAACACACCTTTTTTTCTATACAGAACGAGTTCCTGATTGGACATGGGGTGTTCACATAGATCGAGTTCCTCTGCTTAATGTAGGCTTGAGGACCATGAGAAACACTTGCAGGTGAACGCATCCCGCAGAGATCTCTGAATTGTCGCCCCTCAAAGGACGTTGGCCGCTGTTGCTCCGCTAAGCAGGTGGACCGGACGATCTGAGATTTTTTTCTTCGACTTGGGAGAAAAAGAATCGAACAATCACAATCACAACGGTAGAACAATCACAACGCCTGGCACTTTTTTCGGAATGTTTTTCGATCCAATTCGGGACCCCGCAGTGTGGGGATGCCCGAGTTCCTGCCCCAACGGACGTCCCGAGGGACGTGTCACTTCCCTTCTGTCGCTCCACTTCACTCCACTGATATCAGTACCGGCCAGGACGAAACCATCAAAAGACAGCGAAATCAACAACAACTCTGCTACATTCCATGATCTCAGTCACGTCCGTCGATTTGGGGGGAAGGTTTCGTTGTCTTACAAGTCAAGTTGGGCAACTCTGCTGTTTGACACCACTGACAAATGGTTTCCTATGGTGTCCTGGTTGGTGTACTTCAGAATATGGTTGCTTTCGGGACCCCGCTGAAGGGGGTACCCAAACAGCCGTATGGACCTCCTTCCCGATGAAACGGAGAAGGAGGCAGAATTTCGTGAAACTTGAAACTGCCTGGACCCCGGCTGTGGCAGCTGTGTATGTATGTATGTATGTATGTGTGTATGTATGTATGTATGTATGTAGGTAGGTATGTAGGTATGTAGGTATGTAGGTATGTAGGTATGTAGGTA